TAAACATGATTTTTATTATTTTGTCATCATTAAACATTTCTTTATTTGTGTGTTTTATTCAATATTATATATAACAAAACTTTTTCAAAGATAATAAAATAATAGCTTGTATAACTTCTAATTTTTTTTTTTTATTATTATTATGAATACAAAATGTAATATTGAAATATGATATTATTTTTATTTTTGATACAAGATGTATTGTATAATTTGTAACACAATTTTTAATTAAATTCTCATGTTTATAATGTATGATTTACAATATTACTTATGTACTGTTTTTTTTTATTTATTTAAATGGGTATTATATATAATATAATATTAATATTATATAATTTTAATTGAGATAATATTTTATTGATGGTATTTAAATATACATATATAACATATATCAAGTCTTTTTTTATAAACTATTCTATAATTATATTTAACATTAAATTATTATACCATTGATATCAATCTGTGGCAATACTTCAATTTTATTATTATCTCTTCAAATATTGTCTAAATATTTTAAAATTACATTGAAAAAATATTTACTACAATATTTTGAAAATAAATGGGTTAAATGTTTTGAAAACATCGGTACTTCTGCAAAATATATTTTGAAAATGTTTTGGGAATATCTTAATATTTTCCTCAAATGTTTTGAGTATATTTATAATAGTATATTTTGAGTATATAAATATTCAGTTCTATATATTTTGAAAATATCTTAAATATATTAATTTGTTGTGTGGATAGTGTCTATAACTCAAAATAAACAGAAAACTCACATTTCTTCAGGTAGTTCAAAGAATTAGAAAAATTGTTGTACAATATTTTTTTATATAATTTAAATTACAGTTAGATTTATTATAGTTCTAATTAAATACTTGGGYATATGTCAGTATATTATCGTATGGCTKATGCGATTATCATTTATTATATCACTAAACTGTATTTATACAATTTAGACAGTTTAGTAGATTATTATATTATAGTACATAATCAACTGGTAAATTCCAACAATTAAAGTTAAACGTGTTCTATTTACCTATAGCTAGGTATAGTAACTTATTATAACGGATAAGAAWAGTACCAATAACTATATAAACTGTATTAAAAATATTCTGATAATCTGATAATATTATAAAATCGGTAATTTATGAAGTTTGTCAATTTTGTGTGTGTTCATTTCTCTGTAGTCTGTAGACCTAACCGGTGTTTGGTACAACGAAATCGCCTATATTTTGCTTCTCCTGATTTAAAATTTWAACTACTATTGACATAAAATGGATTTTTTTTTATATGTTTTTTAACAATTTTGTGAAATGATTATTAACTAATAACTTATTATTTTATACAAAATTAAACTTTTTTTAAAAATAAAAAACAATCAGACCTTTGATTTTAGGAAATGACAAACTTTATTCATAAATAAACATAAAATTGCACTTGATATAAAATAAAACAACTGACTTAAATGTTTAAGTTAATTAAACTTAATTGATTCAAATTTTTTTATACATATTATTAAAACAGATAAACTTTTTTAAAAATAAAAATCAATCAGACTTCTAACTATAGGAAATGACTTAAGTATTGTTCATAAATAAACATAAAATTGCACTTGATATAAAACAACTGATTTAAATTTAAGTTAATATAAACTCAAGTGATTTAAATTGTTTTATACATAATATTAAAATAGATAAACTTTAAAAAAAAAAAATCAATTAGACTTCTAATTCTATGAGGTAAGAATAACATAATATAAATTTTAACACAAAATAAAACAACTGTCATAAATTTAAGTTATTATTCCCAATACATTAAAAAATGTTCAATATAATATAATATGAAAACACCTAAAAATAATTAAAAATTAAAATATTCAGTCTTATTAATAACAAGTCAGAAAAACTGTTGTTTTAAATTTATTCTTCAATTTAGACTTTAAGTTCCTATTTTCAATCTTTATATTAATAATATAAGTACACAATATTTATACTAGGTAGGTACTTAGGAAAATAAATAATAATACAAAATTTGAAACATACAAGAATGAGAAAAATATTATATTTTAGCTGCTTTGGTTTTGAAAGTATTCAAATGAGGTAACGTATCATAAAAGGAATGAGTGTCTAAAGGCATAAATTGCTTCAATTTTTGTAAATCATTCTATTTAGATATGGTTAAAGGCAAARGGCTTTTATACAATTTTTGAAACTTAAATATTTCTCCTTCAATAGTGTTACTTGTCATAATACTRGCCAAACTTGAGACTTATTTTGCATAATGATTATGACTCACAACCATTTATTGTAGCTGTATATAGTGATAATTCTAAACCACAGAATATAGATTATTTTTTAGAAGATTATGTCAAAGAAGCAAAACATTTGATAAAAAATGGAGTAACTATTGGTCAAATGACATTTAAAGTAGAAATTGTTGGATTCTCGTGTGACACGTTTGCCAAATCGTTGGATAAAAAATGTAAAGGACAAAGAGGGTTTTATGCCTGTGAGCGCTGTGAGACCAGAGGAAAGACAATTAACAAGAAAAGAGTATATCCTAGTATGGCGTCTAAGCTACGCACAAAAAGTACTTTTATAATGAAAAACCAAAAAGAGCATMATTTAGGAGCAGGTAGATCATCATTGTTAGATATACCAGACTTTGATCCTGTTAAATCAATGTTCTTGGATTCTATGAATTTATTATACCTAATTATGAAATGGATAATGTTTCAAAAATAAATGTATCACCTAACCAATGATAAATTATTCAAGAACATACTTAGATTATGTGTGTAACACAGCTTATTAATATAGGTACATTGGATCCCATAACGTACCATACTACCATTAATTGTAAGCAATGTTCAACTTCTAACATACAATCATTACAAAGCACTATATTATGATATCCACCCAACCCAATCTACGGGCAACGATAATCGTCACTCGGCAGGGGATGAGGAGGAATCAGKAGGGGAGGAAGTGTCCCTTATTGTCCGGGGTGCCAAGTTCTTTAGTTTATTAGGGGGGGTGGTGGCAATTTTATATTGAAAATAAATATTATGGCGTATCCAATAACAGAAAAAAAAAATGTTTTTATTTATATTTCAGTTTTCAATACATGTATTGGAAAAACTATTTTGATAATTATTATTTAATAATTTTATATTATTAAATATTATTATATATCTATATATATAAAAATGGAGACAAAAAATTCGAAATTGCATCAGTTGAGAACCGATACTGGGCCGATTTGGCTCAAATTTTTTTTAAATGATAGAGAATGTCGGGGAGCTGGTTTATAGCATAAATTATGGACCTAACTCCTGTKAGTTAGAGATTTAGAGACAAAAACTGAGTTACACCAGTGGCGCCCTCTAGCAGATAAAAATATAAATCTATATATATATAAAAATGGAGACAAAAATGTATAACAATTCATCAATTGAGAACGGCTGAACCGATTTCGCTCACTCTT